GAGAGAGAGAGAGGAACAGAAGCGTGCGGAGGAATTTCACTTCGTTTTTCGAGCGAAATAAGAAAAGAATCTTTTGATATTTCGAGGTTCGACGATGAGGAGGAGCAGTTCTTTACTTAAACTAACTTAAACTTTTTATAGGGGATTTTTCATGGTAACATAGTTATCTTTCTTTATAGGGAATTTCTTGGCTTTTTTTTTCTAGGGAAATTCTCGAAATAGGATTGCCCTAGATAATACTTCGAGAATAATACGTTCCCTTCCGTTCCCGATCCCAACAATTTTTTAACGCTTTCCAAAAGTAAAAATAATTTGCTCGCTCGCGGGGAAACGACTCGATTTAAAATTAAATTTTAACTACGAAAGACAAGGACGCGCGCAGGGTCGCGGACGGTTGGTCTGAAGGAAGGTCAAGATATCGGTTGAGGGGCGGGGGGGAGGGAGGTGTGTGGAAGGGGACACATGGAAACGTGATCCCGCATATCGTTCCGACGAATAGTTTGAGGTCACCGTTGCTTTGGTCCCGAGCCATCGGGCAGAGTTTGTAAACTGGCCGAACTTTCAACGGATCAACAGCTGCCTCGACCCATCCATATACACACCACAAGTATTCCCCTGTCCCCGCAAATATGACCAGCCTTTAACCAGATCCCTTTCTTTTCGCTCTTATGGAGAAAAAAGGAGAAAAAGAGACCGGAGGAGTTTTGTTACACTCTTGGTGTATACAACTAATAAAAACAAACTTCTTCGCTTAAGCTTAAACTGTCGTTTGAAGAGAAAGAGATGAAAGATCTTTGTAAATTGATAATGGAAATAGTCGAAACATCGTATCTCGTTTCACATTTCTACGTGTAAATATCAATTTTTCGAACGAAAGAATTCGAATCGAAAATTGTCTGAATATTTTCTCTTCTCGCGGAGAGAGAAAGAGAGAGGGGAATATTATTTCTGAATATTATCGTTACAGAACGAGAAGCTGGAGGTGAAACAGAAATGGGCCTCGCGGCTTTTGGGCAAGTTGCGAAAGGATATCACGCAGGAGTACAGAGAGGACTTCGTGCTGAGTATAACGGGGAAGAGGCCGGCCATGTGCGTTCTGAGTAATCCTGATCAGAAGGGTAAAATGCGTCGTATCGACTGCCTGCGCCAAGCCGATAAGGTACGTCACCTACACTCATCCACTTCCCCCTCGTACTTCTAATCTCTTCCTAATAAAAACTTTGGCAATGTAATATCCTTCCCTTTCAAATTCCAAATCTAATTCAAACTTTCTATATATATATATATATATATATATATATATTAATACACACGATATTGCCAATATACGTTTCTAAAATTAAAAATGTCCCTACACGCAAAGTATAAAATCATTCGATATTTTAAAATTATTTTTGATACTGATTATTTCGAAGGATACGTCTCCGTGTGATTACTATTAAATTAAATAATTAGAATATTAAGAGATTCGAGGCAATTTCTTGACGAAGTGGTGGGGGGGAGTCGCGCGTGTCGTCGAGGTGGGCGAATAATAATAGCGTGATGTCGCAGGTATGGAGGTTGGACCTAGTAATGGTGATCCTCTTCAAGGCAATTCCGTTGGAGTCGACGGACGGGGAACGGCTGGAGAAGACTGCGGAATGCGCTCAGCCGGGCCTCTGCGTCAACCCCTATCACATCAACGTCTCCGTCCGGGAACTCGATCTCTACCTCGCCAATTTTATCACCAGCCACGGTAAGGGATGGTTCCGTTCGATTTATTCTCCCCAAATTTACCTTTATCTCTTGTGTTCGCTTCTCTCGTGAAAATTTAATTTCGATCCGATCCGTGATATTCGAACGGACTGTTCAACGGACTCTCGATGCTTCAATTTCTACCTACCGAGTTTACTTTCGAATGTTTTTCAATTAAAAAATTATATAAACTATATAATGATACGAGTTACTAATAGAGGAATCTTTGGAATATTTAAAAATTTTTTTGTCCAAGAATGTTTTCACTCGTCGAAGTAGGATTTCTCTTACTTGACTTAACTTTTGAATTAAATTTTTGAAAAAGAACCAGAATCCATCTAACTCAAACACGTCTTCATTTCTTCCTATAAACTTGTCAAACAAAGATCCCCAAGCATTTTCTCTCTTCCTCCGTCTCTCGAATCAAATCCGAGCCGCCTAATAACAACCCCCTAACCGTCCACCCAATCGCCTCTCCTGTCCCACCAGGAAGTATTGGCTCGGCTCTCGTTGATCTCGTGCACGACCAGACCCAGAGAGACAGGGAGAGAAACAGAGAGAGAGAGAGAGAGAGAGGCGGGTGGCTGAATCGAGCGTGGCGCGTTCATTCACTCGCACATCCGTCCATTCAAAGTGTCCACTCGACTCGGCTTCGATTCAAAGTTTCTTGGAACGCTCTGCCAATTTCACCGGCCCCCCATACAAACACCGGGCCCTCACCCGCCCCTCCCTCCCCACCCACGATCCTCTCCGACCTGCCATATCTCCAAGGGTGATGCCAACACTCTGGTGTTGATCCGTTTTGGCCGATCTTTTCATCGAGAACAGCGTCCAAGGCATCCGGATCGCGCGCCTCCATGAGCCACCACGCATTTGACACCTCGTTTCGTGGATTCTAGAACTTGGGGATCGTGTGGACGCTTGCAAGATTGAGAATCGCAAGAGAGGGAGGGGGGAGGGGGAATTTTGGAAAATTTCGAAAGATGTTCGAGGAATTGTACGAAATTGTACGAAATAAAGAGGAATTTCGTAATTTAGCATTCGCGGGTATTCAGTGCCGGATCAAAAAAGGATCGCCAGGAATTGTATTGTTAAAAAGTTATATTGTTCATAATTTCGCGATGAAATCTCATCTCATCGTTTATACGAAAATTTAAATTTCCAAATTTTACTCGTTACAATTTTCACGAGATCGATAAGAGGAAGAAAATTCGCGTGGAACGGGGAGGAGCGGCGGAAGGTGGCGACGAACGGTCTGGAGAGTGCCTAACCTACCCCATGTCTTGGCAGCCGAGCGTTTTTTTCTCTTTCTCGTAGGTGGTGCGCGGTAGGCCTGGCCAATTTTTGCGTCAACCACGGGTGTAAACATTAGAAAGCCGGCTGCCAAGCCGTGTTGTTGAGCCACCACGGGTTCGAGTGCCTGCGAGAAAGAAGCGTAGAGAGAAAGAAGGAGAGAGAGAGAGAGGTGTACAGCCAAACAGAGGAGAGCGCGTGGCGAGACATACACACCGGGCGGCCCCTCTGCCAGGACAGCGCGCGTACGTACGGAAATTACGTATTTTCAGACTGAGTCAGTGAGTTCGATGAAACCGAATGAAAGAAGAACCGCGGACGGGCGCCAGCCCCGGCCCTCCTGCCAGCTGATCGATCGAAACGCGTCGATCAACGGGCCACGTGCACGTATGCACGCGATACCTCGTCCTCTTATATCGGTTTCTTTGTTTTCGGGATGAGCCGCGTTTCGTTGCGTTGACCGCAGGTGGCGTTGGTGGCGAACCAGCAGATCGGAGAGGTTGCGTGGAAATTTTGGAATTTCATCCCGGAGATCGTGGGGGAGGGAGAGGATCGTGGTGTTCGATGGAAATCTGTGAAATTTTATTTATTTCACGTGTTTCACTGGTGTTTCGATTCTGTGGAATATTCTTCTCGAGGAACGGAGAATTTAGAGGAAGAGAATTTGGAGGTTAGGTTAGACAAGCGCGATAGTTTATTTGCCGTTCGAAATAAAACGTGGGATCGTGTTTGATGAATTACCATTTGGAAAAATGTTTATTATCGAAGGTTAATCACTGCTTGAAAAGTACACGATCCTCGCGATTCTGGATCGCTTGTTCTATTAATGAGATTCGCCCGATGTGTTTGCAATCAGAGGTTTAATCTATTATTTTCTATCTACGTTCATGTGCAATTTTACGATTCGTCCGATTTAATATTTATCTTCTGCGTTCGTAAATTTCCATGGAATCATAATAAATATTGTATATTCGTGTGTCAAAGTTGATTATCGTAAAAGTCTTTGCAGAATTTTATGAAAAGTACAAGTGAATAGTAAATGTGTAACGCTCGAATAAATGGAATGGAATAAATGAAGTATCGCTCGTTCAAGACTCTCTTTCCAGAGAGGATCTTATCTCTCTTC